TTTTTTTTTTTTTTGTTTAAACAAAGCCTCTTTCAAATTGACCTGATCAGCAGCACTGATCTATACCAATAAAGCCAAGGGAGAGGCAGCTCTTATGAAAACTGCATTAAATGCCAGATCTAATAAATGGGAAACAACAGCCAATACACCAAGTAATTTCATTACATGCATGGCCAGTTCAGAGAAATAAGTTCAATTATCAGGAATTCCATATGCTGATTTTGATGAAAGTCACRCAGGCCTGTGTAGCACCACTAGGGCCTTTTCCGATAGAGAAAGGGATGTTATCCAGTTACTGAACCTCAATTTTTCTGCTTAAATAATTATGATTCTAATGAYGTGTCAAATACATATGAACTTCATAAACTCAAAATAGAGTGCAGCAACAGCATAGAGAAAACTTTAGAAAGGATTCAAAAACTGGTTCAAAATCACTTCATATCACAATATCAAGTGATCGTGACTAAAGCTAGTTGATAGAACCAAATAAAAAATTGAAGGTGATCCAGAGGAGATTAGAAGAGCTGAGTTGTTCAGCCAAGCAAAAGGAGGTGGACACAGATTCTGTCTGCTCTCTCACGGTGTGCTGGAGAGCAGAAGGACCAGGAGGGTCAAGGACACCAGCCAGAAGTCCACAGTCCTCGTTCCTTTGAAACAGAATAGATTTCTCCCAACCATGAAAGAAGGCCAGCTGCTTCCGCCTGCCTGTTCTCATTTAATTACATTTATTCTTCTTTAGGAAAAGAAAAGGTATCAAGTTCTGATTTATTCATTCTCCTAACAGGCAGTTTCTTAGACTTTCTTATAAAACTTGAAAATTCAACAGCAAAAAAAAATTACCTTTATTAAAAACTGAGTGGCTAAATTTTCATAGTCTGGCTTCCCAGGCTACTCTGTTTGATGCCATTATAATTTGGTATGGGACCAGGTGTAATTAATTTTCCATTGAGCCCTGCCCCATGGCCTGGCCAGTCTGAGAGCTCTGTGGCCATGGCACATCCAGACCAGTGCACTGCTGTGCAGCAGTGGACACGTCTGTAGTGACAGTCATGGAAACTCCTCTGGKTAATTGTATTTATCTACCTGGAAGACTTTCTGCATAAAATCATTACTCTCAAACAAGTACTAGGTTATTACTAACRAACTTCACAGTGCTTTGAGAAAATTCCATACCCAACCTCGAATCCAGCTCTACTTGAATTACGTTACATAGCACATTGAAGGCTTTAGAACATTTCTAAATGTCTAACTAAAAAGTATAAAGACAGCCAGCTCATCAGTTTGTCTGAACCTTGCCTAGCAAAACAGAGGAGAATCCTAAGTAGCCACCTTTGCTAGCAAACTGAAATATTCAGACAATCTTGTTCCAGCTTGATCACCACAACCTGGGCAGCACTTGGTACTGATGTCTCAAGTCAGGAGTGGAAACAGCGATGATTGTGTAAGGTTAGTAGGATCCAAGCAAAGCCAGAAGCTGGTTAAGTGTTAATGACAAGAAAATGGAAAAAGTCACAAAAGTCGTATCTGSTTATCTGCCCCCTCAAACAGCCTGGCTCTGAGCACACCTACTTCGCCTCGATATCAAACACAAAGGTTTCATTCCAGATGTGGTAGTAGGGATGAAGTGGGATGAGTTTGACTTCAAAACTTGGAAGCTCTGCATGAAAAAAAGAAGGCAAAAGGTCATGACATGTGTGTTTCAAACATACCTTAAACTGCTGGCAACACACACTGAGAGGACACAGCTGCACTGAAGGCATGTTTTAGTTTGAATTAGCAGTGCACTTCTGAAGCAAACCTCCTGATCATTTTCCCTTATTCTGCTTTGTTTAACGTGGTGGAGCAGTCTTCAAGAGCATAAAAATTTATTTAATTGTAATTAAAAAAAGTCAGAAGATGAAGTCTAAATGATTATTGTCATGAAGTGCCCTGGTCTAGGAGCAGGCTGACTAAGCCCACCCTGAAATGGGTTGAATGTGGATATAAGCTCCTCAACATCATCTGTGTCACATTGAATTTGCTCCGTTAAAGCCAAATTATTTGCTCCTGGACATATATCAGGGTGATTTGCTGCTGCTTGTGGGTGTTTGGAGAGGTTGCAGAAATCTCCACTGTTCTGCTACTTCCACTAGCTGAGGCAAAATGAGTTTTGTTAAAATGAAATTTCCATTCAATACATTTCTTTTACATACATAAATACATTTTCTTTTGTCTTTAAGGAAAAAAAAAAGGAAACAAAACAACAAACCCAGATTAATTTTACAAGAAGCAATAATTTCAGTGTTAATAAATCAAGCCACTTCTTATCCCAAATAGTTAATTTTTACTTTCTCCTCAGGGCGTTATTTTCCTTTAAAAAAGGTTCTTTGAGTATAGGAATAACTCTAATAAACCTCCAGACTGAATTCTACTGAGAGAAAATGKGCAGCTTTTATTTTTTTCTCCCCCATCCCAGTYTTCACTGGAAATTTAGCCAGAAATGGACTGACTTTGAAATGGAACTCATTTCTTTTATTTTTTTTTCTTCATACAGTAGGAGAGTGCTTCCAATGTTTTGTGATAAAATGTTAAAAAAGTACTAAATCTTTATGAAAACAAATTAATTTCTTTTTTTAAATATAAGTGGAAGCCATASTGTGTATCAGAAACAGCAATCATGCACTGAAACACCATGAAAGTTGTCCTTAGTGTCTAACTACAACCAGATTTAATCACTGCATTGTATCCTTTAACACACAGTGGTGACTTCTTATATATATAATGCAAATTTAATAATATCTCACCGTATCTTTTAACTTCAAATTCAGTGGAAACATTAGACATTTCATGTTGATGAAACCAGGCTTTGATTTTCCAAGTTCCAGGCCTAAAGTCCAGATTCAGCAGAAAATAGTTAATTATGATTCCTCAGATATTTMATTATACCAATATATAAATTATCACTGAATTATAATATTTTCTTTGCTTTGATCTCATCCCAAACTAATTAATTAATGGATTTCTCTTTGCTAGGAGAAGCCAGAAACATATTTCCAAATGTCCTAGGAAACACTCAAATCTATGAGGAAGTGCAAGATAACATATTTGCAAACCATTACCTTTGAAAAGTCCTCTTTGAAAAGAGAGAGCTCATAAAATATTTCCAATAGCTTGTCTTCACTGTGATATCAAAATCAGCTTAGCATGCCAGAAAACAATGAACATTAAGTAAAAGCTTAAAAGGTTTGAAATCAGAGATAATTAATTACACTTTGCACACCAGCCTTCTCAGAAATGCTTATGCAGCCATACGTTTGAGCAGATATTTAAASAGTTTGTTAAATTGTTCTTTACCCGGACACATATTGCTAATTGCACATATTGCAGCATATTAACAGCAAATTCTGAATTAACAGTAAATTCACTCTCCAAGATGTGGTCCTTAAAGAAAAGAAGATATTAATCATAGGCTCAATATCTCCTCCATGGTGAAAGAAAGAGAATTTTGAAAGGTAATTCAAGAAATTCRGTAGTTAAAAAGCCTAATCTACAGGTTTTAATGCAGAAGGCACAGCAGTAACATACTCAGCAATGTCAGGTATGTCAAAGTGTTCACCAAACACTGTGTTTATTTTCCGGTCTGACTTTTTAACCACCATTCCTTTGGAATTCTGTTAAGACAGAGAAAGCAAACGTCGAAATTATGCACAAGGTGTCAAACATTTACATCCAAAAGCTCAAGTTCATATACTATGAGGAGAAAATGTCCTATGGAAGAGRAAATGCTTTTCTTACTTTCCTACTTCCATAGTCACATGTCATGTTTCCCTCCATGCTCCCTACATGGGCCAAAAATGACTAGACAATTCTCACCACGAGATAATCCATACTGATTTCTGGGGAGGAGTCATAGCTATAGTTTTGCTCTTCTGTGAATTTTTTCCATAGTTCCTGTGCTGAAGAAGCACCCATCAGCAGTGTTTTGGCATACTCACAAGCACAGCAACTGTAACCGTGTCATCCGTTGGCCTCATWGCATTGTCCAGAATGAAGATCCTGTATTTTACTGTTTAACAGAAGAATAAATATGGTCACATATTTCTTTCTGGCATTTCTAGATACTAATTATTGTAAGACGTAATCTGAGTTATTGAATTCTACATCAAACACTTTCTTTTAATGAAGTCTGAGAAATTTCAAAAAATAACTGCATTCTTCCATAGGCTTTGCATGCAACGTGACTAGGTAATTTTTTTGAAGAAAATTATGAGAATTACTCAGGGAACATCACACACTTTTGTATTGCTTCTGTGGTTGAGGCCTGAAACCAAGCTCAAAAACTCTTTTTACTTCCCTCTTTAGTTACTTAATTAAATTGGTAAGCAACAAAGCAGTAGTKGTCTTAAAGAGCAAAGATTACTTATTGCTGGTGTTGCAAGTAGAAGCAATAGGAGTTTGTTTTTTGGCAGATTCCTCATTAATTTGTTTTCCAAAAGAAAGTAATTATTTAGCTTTTTGCAGACAAAGAAGCAGATTTTGTGTGTCCCCCTTTAGAGGGACTCTGGCTCTGGAGGCACTTCCACTGGGATTGCTGCAATGTGCAGAGCAGACCCTGCAGAAACCCTCGCTGCAGGAGCAACCGGGTCATTATTACTTTTTCTAGTCATGCCCTTGTGGCATCCATATTCAACACCTGAAAATCTGTATTTTAACCTTGGGAACTTGGTGTGTATATGGGCTTATCTGTCTGAATAAAGATGTAGCCTTTCTTGGAGGACAGGAGGATGCGGGTGCTCTTGACTGTCATCTGAAGTTCCTTGCTCTCAGTGACCAGCAGAACATACGGCAGATTGTCCTTCTTGAACAGGTTCTGTTGCAGAGACCCTGGCTCGACCTACAGAGAACAAAAAGGAAAACCCCACAAAGTCAGAGATGAGCCTGGTAACTTTGGAACCACATAGCTGAGGACCCACAACAGCTGAAGTGCTTAAATAATCTCATTAGCACTGTTGACAGAAGATTCTCAATTCTATCTTTCTCACTGGGCATTTGCATCTTTCTTACTGGGTGAATGTTTCTTTTAAAGTAGAAATGCTATCTAATAGTCCATTGCCCACTGTAGAAATATAYTTTATTCTGTCCAATGTCAATAACTCAAGGCAGGCGACTTTTCTTCAGCCTAAATCCCCATTGATTTCCAGTTACTATCGTGCAATCCCAATTTATGCTAAAAACTTGGTTATGAGATTGGTGCTTTACTTCATGCAATTTAATATGACACTTCTAAACATCACATCAACAGGAACCTGATTGAAAAGCTCAGCTGTCAGCTTTGGGAGTGACCAGCCAGATCCAAACTGAATTTTGATGTGTGCTGTTTTCCACCCAAATAGCCCAGTCTAGTGCTACTGAAGGAAATCCTGCCAGACTTCAAAGAGTCGTGCCAGAAGCAAATGATTCAATGCAGGATATAAAGAATTAACTTAAAAATCTGCAGAAAAGAACACAGGCTTTGGTCTGAGAGATTGCACATTTTTAAAAGTTTCTCCTATATTGTAAAATGGCCAGTAGCAAGCCAAAGACATGAATGCAGTCATAGTTTAAGTGGCACAGAAAAAAAAACCAGTGAAAAAATAATTAAATGTGTTTAAATTAAATTTCACATATCAGCATGTGACAAAATCCTGTGCTTGTTATATGGGCGCAAAAAAGTATTCACAATCACCACTAAATGGCATTAGACATTGTTTTATTAGATGGCTGTGTGAACAGGGTGCTGATGTCATTGGAATCGGTGCTTTGTCATCTGTTTCTATGGATTAGTGTTGTCTCTGTTCCAACATATTTAGAGTACAAATTATGTGCTTTTTATAGCCAAGAAAAAAAAAAATGCATCACTATGATGGCAAACTCACCATTATTTTTTTCATCTCTTGGTAGCCATTATTTTGGTTAAGGTTAAAGAAGATCCTCTCTGATAGGAGCTGGTTTCTTGTCTCATCTTTGAAGTATGCAGTGACTTGCACAGGGCTCTGTGCCCCGTGGACTTGGACTGTYATTGTCTCATGTGTGCCCAAATGCACCACATTTGGGGCAGTAATAAGGAATCTAAAATAAATAGATTGAAATAGAATTAGAGAAATAGGTTGTCCAGTATGTTCAGTGAATTCCCAAACAAAACGAATTTTAACAATAAAACAGATTTTAACTAACTTTAACTATTGGTAGCTAAGCTTGGGACTTGTGGAGCTCACCTAATCTATCACCCTGATTAGTCAGAGCAGAGGTTAAAAGGAAACAATTTTCTCTGATTGTTCTCCAAGTTCTGAACTGTCCCATTTAAGTCCTACAAGCTATACATAAATAGGAGAGGAAAAAACCTGCAATATGTCCCAGGGACTGCCAATACAATTCATAGCCTGGCGTAACTCAGAGAAAGCTCTCTAAACTCAATTTCCTAAACAAATCATGGCCATGCATTGAAAGACAATGTGTACATATTCATAAATACACAATTAATGCTGCAAAGTTAAGTATCTTCATGTACTAGTTCCCACATTATGCCAGTTTATGCTTTAACATGTCAGGAAGTATCAATTCCCCATATAACCAAATGTATGGGGTTACAAGTAGATGATCTTCATTGTTAGTGAAATGCTGGAAATGAAAGATCACAGAAGTTTACACCACAGCCCAGGAAGAGCTGAGTTGGAGGCTAAACTGGTTGGGATTTATTTTTTCCCCTCTTTATTGCTTTTCTTTGTTCTTAATTCTACTCTGGTGCTTCTTAGCAATTTTTCTCTCCATTTTTTCAAGTATATTTTACAAAAATTAGAGAATTGTGTGAAGAGTGAAGTTCTGCCTCTTCACCTACGATGTCCCATAGACGAACAACAGTTCTGTGCTCAAGAAAGGTGCTTTTGGAAAACAATTATTCTGCAGAAGACTTCTAAAATGAAAGGTAGATGATTTTGCTATTATCAGAATGTGTTGGCTGAACTTTCATTTTTACTTTTGGAAAAAAAAAAGTCACTTCCTTAAATACATAAAATGAAAGGTGAGGTATAGAAATCGGGGAATAAAGCTGATTTTTAATTTCATTCACTCAGAGTCTATTGGCTCTAGCAAAAGATGAAACAAGGCCTGACTTACATGCAAATCTCCACTAAAATAGAGCATAAGTACAGAAGAATACTGAAGGTCTCCCAAAAGTGAAACYTGTGCTTTCTGCAATCTACAAAGTAATTACAGATGTTTTTCCCCAGGATTTTTCAATCCAGTAAATGTCACAAACAATAGATGAGCAAACAGCAATAACAGAATGAACAACTTGCTTTAGTAGGACATTTTTTATATTATTGGTACCTGAGAGAAGATTTCTCCCTTAAAAGGCCAGTTTTAAGCTCTTTACTTCTTACCTATTTAAGGCTAAACAAATTTTTCTGTGGTCCAAGAAACTTGCTTTGTTGATTCTCTATCAAGAGAGAGAGAATATTTCCTACCTTCTTTTTCAGGGGATTTGTTAGGCTTGAAGAATTGATAATAAAATGTACTTACGATGGTGCTTGTTGTGTATTGGACAGCAGCAAACAAAAGCTCAACAGCAATACCAGCCTTTCCATTGGAAAACTCTACAACATCTGCAAAACAGAAACACCCAAGAGCCACCATCAATCCAGTGCTGGCTGAAGGAAATGGGCTGACAGAATATTGCAGCAAATAATGTTGCTTATCCTGGTTATTTATTAATAACTTCCAAAGCTGTCCAACCAATAATCATGGACATGCTGGTGGTGTGTACGTTAATAACCTAGGGAGAGACATTCTGGAATAAGTCACTATTTTCTATTTTATTATTCATCCATTCTCTTCCTGGCTTCAATATTTTCACACGATAGCAATTAAAAGCCAAGTGCAGAGACAAGTTTTCACAAATACTGCAAAGGCAACCCAAAATTAAAAAAGACACTCTGGCTAAAAGATTGGCTCTAAAGTATTTCTAAATGGGTCATATGCAAGTGACAGGTCCCTTCCGAATGCCTTTCCTTAACCCCAAGCATATCTGAGAATCAGGAAAGGTGAGAGAAAGCTCCTTCTGGTTTAGATATCACCAAAGGAACTGTGCTGGAAATCCACCTGCACAACTCAGTCTAAGTGTGTGGTGCTTGAAAGAATTCAACTGCTTTAACTTCAGTGGAAATTAAATGGATGCCTCTGTCTGAACTACTCAGCCCAATTTTCCTTTATGCCCAACCCAAGTGGGTTTTCCCAGAGGGTAACTGGACTCATTTTAGCATAAACATGTAAACTGAATCATCAGCTGAAGGCATTCCAGACTGCATGAAAGACACAAGGTCTTAAAATACAGGCTATTGATAAACAGGGAAAAAACCCCAACATCTGAGGAATAGATTCTACAGAAACCCCAGCATCTGAGGAATAGTTTCTACAGAAACCAGTTTTGATCAAAGGCGAATGAAAGAACTGAAACTCTCATCAGGTCTCATTTCTGCAAACCTTTACTGGGTTGTTTTCTCCCAAACCTAATTTTGTTGACCCATGAGAATGGAAACATGCCCATCTGATTTACGGGCAGGTCAAATCCCAGAAATGATCACATGGCTACTCCCAGGCTCTGGTGATAAACTGCCCTTCAATGCACCACAGCCAAGTCTGTGTCTTTAGTTATTGGCAATGGATGCCTTCAATCAGCACTCCCTCATTTGTAAGGTGAATTCATACTCACAGCAGGGCTCACTGCCCACAGCCATGCTTTTCTGTGAGGCTGGAGGGACCTTCACCCTCTATCACCTGCCTAAGGGACATCTCTTGCCCTGCTTTTCAAGACAAGGAGGCAGGGAAAGAGAAGAAGCTGACTAGAAACCAGCTCACTATTTTACACTGAGTGTGCTTCAATGTGGTAGCTCCCTCTGAGATAAAAACAGACAGAAAGTATTCTCTGTCCATTGGTGGTCACAGAAAGGGCCAGCAGCAGTAGCTGGCTTCAAACCCACATTGGAAAAAGCTACGTTTTACCTGCTCTAGGCCGAGCTACTTTCTGTTTTGTTTTGTTTTCCCCCAAGAGACATTTTCTTCACCTCTTCTGGCTTTCACTCTCACTTCAGCTGTCAGGAGGRAGGAACTTGAGGAAAGGTACCTGTGAATCCTCAGGATCAAAATCCGTGCACTTGGGGAGATGTTTACAGGAGTTCAGAGTCRGGAACCATTAAGAACAARGTTATTTTTACTCTGCTCTCCCTYCTCACCTGCTAATTTCCTATACAGTTATGCACTCACAAAACGGATATGTTTTCATGACAAAATAATTTTCCTCAGGGCTTCTGGCTTCCAAAACCTAAAAGTGGTGAGGAAGAAGAAATTTCCACCACAAAGCTAGTCTGTGTTCAGGGCAAAGACAGATGGAAGAAAAAGTCTTCTTGGGAACAGGGCTTATGTTCTCCCTAGGGACCAGAAGAGTCYTGTTAAACCTACAGATGGAAAAATAAGGACTCCACACTTGCAGAGATAATGGGAAGGGTTAATTAAGAGCTGCAGTGCTGTGGAACTCACTGAGGCTCCTGCCCTCTGCAGAGACAGCTCTGCTGCTCCATCTTGCACTGCAGCTGTAGAGGGTCAATCACTGAGCAATCCTAACCACAAAAACAGGACAAGAAACAGTTGTGAGTGGGTTCTTTGCTTTTCTCCAGACAAATATAAAATAAGAAAATGAAAACCATCTGCAAGGTCAATGCCCATTCCTTGAGAAAGACACAAGGGACATCAGGAAGCTCTCCCAGCTGAAAAGCCAACAATTTCCAGAAGACTGCAACATAACCAGCAGGGATTTCCTACTCCTGAAGGAGAGGCACCTTTGCAGAGTGCAGTCACACCAAAATATTGCTCTGCGCCCATCTTTCTCAGAGGGGAGGAGATGGGATTTCCGTTGTCCAGGCTGGCTTTGGCTGGTTTGTCAGGGCTCGAGATCTTTTGCACAGCTTTGCAAACAGCCATGTATGAATTCTCAGCTAGACATTTTCATAGAGCACTTTCTAAAGGGGACCTTGGAAAAGCTATTATTTTGCTTTTTCTTGTTTTTAATTGTATTTGTACACTTTTGCTTCCCAAAGTGAAGTATGAATAAATGTATGTGAATGCATAACAGCTATCCATAGCAATATGCTGCATAAATATTTTATACTTGAAYTTGAGGTTTTCTGACTCTTAATAAAGCTATTTTTTCACCAAAATATAAACCAGTAACTTCAATTAAATCGATTTTTTTTCCTCACAGTCTATTACAAACACAAAAAAGCAAGTTTATGCATAACCACTTATATAACAAGAATTAAAATTCCTTATGCTTAATTGGTCTGTCTCCGGGTTTGTATAAAATAACCATTGCACTGGTTTTCTAGCATCACAGGTTTTTCAAATTGTGATTAGTAGTACAATGTTAAACCTTCCAGTCCAAAGCCACACTAAAATATAACAAAACAAAACTAAATAAAATAAAGAAATCTTGGCTGGAGATCTCCAGCACATGCAKGAGAGAGAAAACASAGAAAATTCCCTCTAAAATGACTTWTATKCCRTTYTTTTCCTAAAGGCAAAGTCCTTTCCTATTTACTCATCAGCCACTGTTCACCTATTGATCCTTCAGCTGGCCCCAGTTCCACACAGACTGTGGAAAGCACAGCCTGGGATTGATGTGTGTCTATGGAGGAGCAGCTGAACCCTGAACTCGGGGAGACAGAATTCCTTTATCTGAAGTATATGCTGTCTCTCCTTTCAGCAGCTTCGTTTGAACTTTGTGGGATTTCACAGCGTTTTGAGCACCAGCAGTGGTTTTTGTTCTTTGGCTTGAAGAGCTTCCCAAAGCCTTTTTCCCCTTAATCAGCCTAAATACTAACMAGGCTAAACTCTTCTTTCACTTTCGTCCTGCGCTCTTTCACCTCTGCCTGGCAGAAGGGTACAAAGGACAGCTTCAGAAAGCCGCTTTTACAAATAAGCACTGCAGTGACATCCTCTTTGCTGAGTCACAGGGACTTGTGACAAACACAAAAGACAATATTTCACTTCTGACATTTCAGAAAATTAGATTTTGAAATCCTTTTTTCAACAGCAGACCATGAAGTGTGGGTCCAATTTGAAAAGTTCCTCTTAACAGCAGGATAGCTTCTCTTTAGTGTCAATATAAAYTGGAATTGTAAATTAAAACTATACTTTATTTTTCTTACCATAATTGAGGTAATTAAATGAAAAGGCTGTTGCTTCTTTTGCTATAAAAAAAATTCCTTAAATGTTCTGTATTTACTGCTTTTAAGTGTATCTACCAAAAAAAAATTATTTAAAGAAGGAAAACCAATATTTCCCTGGTATTTTCTGCCCTCACTGATTTCAGGGGAATTAAGCAACYAGCCTTAGTTTTTTCTCATGGGATTCTCYCTCTTTTCTCCCTCATTCTCTGAAYTCTGYRATTTTCTGAATGCTGTGTTTAAAAATAAAAATAAAATAAGAATTTGTAAAAAACCGCACAAATCAGCAGGGTTTCTGTAAAATTAATATGCTGCAAAAGTGACATATGTAAGACTGAGGGATTTTTAGGTCACTCAGTAACTGCATAACATTACTTACATAATATTTCCCTATATTTTAATAATGCATCCTGATTTTTTTTTTGGTAAACTGTTTTTCCGAATCTCAGTGCTTTTGGCACCTTTAAGAAGACATTGAACTGGCCGTGGCTGGGAGGAGAGGAGATATCTGAGCATGCAAGTGACTCTCACACAAGGTGAAAGCACAGAGCTGCTGGAAATGAGGAATAAAATATCTTGGCCTAAATAACACAGGGTATTTGGAGTACAGCCTTTGTACTCCAACAACCTGGTACTCAGTCTAGAGGCTTGCTTTCAAATACATCCTTTGTGATTTTCTTTTATGTTCTCTTCCAATTTCATTACAAGACTCAAAGAAACCCCAATTCTTCATTTTTAGCAACTGTAAGAAATATAAATTACCTACAAAAATTAATGTATTTAAAATAATTTGTTTGTTCCCAACTTCTCCATTCTTCTGGACTATAATGAGCACAATTGTCTCTTTTGGGAATGATTTTCTTCTCTTTCCATGGGAGTAAAAGGTAAGAATCAGTTTAAAAAAGAAAAAGGCATCTTGAACATATCAGTGGCAAAAGCTAAAATTTTATGTAGCTGAGAAGAGTAAAAACAAAGTAAAAGTAAAAATCCAGTTCTGCGATTTTGGAGGCATATTGTGAAATCAAGTGAAGCCAGTCTTTTGCAGGWAAATTTTAGAGAAGTAATTTATGACTATTTCTGACCCTCATTCCTAGGATTTCCAGACCTGCTGCATGGAGACACTCTAAGGTTTCAGACAATTATACAAGAAAATGTTTTACAAGCATGCCAAAGGAGAAACGAAATCCCACACCATGTACAACCACAGCAAGCCTTGTGCTTATCTGCCACTGGCAGCCCGCCCTGCTCTGACCTGCAAATTAAATCTAAAACATTCCCTTCACCTGGTAACTCAGAGGAATATGGGACAGCAGAAAGCATCTCCTCTCCCAGGCTGGGAGAAGGCTCAGCTCCCACCTCCACCACACTCAAACAAGTTTAGGTCAGCTCCACTGGTGGATCAGAAGATGTCCTACTTTTCTGATCCCCTGGTTTTAATG